TGTGCTTCAGCTAATGGCTAAAAGCTCTCTGCCTCGTGCTGTGTCTTGCTTATGGTCTTTGCCCCTGCTCACTTCTCTGCCAGGAAAGCCCTTATTCAACAATCCACCTGTGTAACTTCTTGCCCAGGGATCTCTTCCTCCAGGAATTCTTCCCTGACTCCATCACTCCAGGCTGCATTTGGGGCTCCTCTCAATATCCCACTCTCCAGAGTGTCTTTACCTTACCATTTAAGTCACTGTATTACAATGACCTGTTTGTGCATCCATCTCTGGAAGATGGGCTCCTTGAGGTTAAAGACCAAAACCAATAGCTGACACTTAGCCTGTCCCAAAGAAGCCCTTCTAGCCAAGTGGTTTCCAGGAGTTCTTCAGTGAATGACAAATGGCTTAGTTCAATTCCTGATCCCCATGCATAGCTCAACAAATATGTGCACTCCCATTAGATCTAAAAATAGAAGAGGACATATTTATTTAGTGTGTGAATAAACAGAAAAGTATTACTGACAAAGGGCTATATCCTTCTCTTTTGATATCTAACCTCTGGTCTTAACGTAAATGGTTCTTTTGTTTGTTTGTTTGTTTGTTTGTTTTTATTGTTGTTCAAGTCCCCTTGTCTCCATTTTCTCTCCATCACTTTCCCCTGCCCAACCCACCCACTCCTCCCACCTCAATCCTTCCCCACTTGGCTTTATCCATAGGTCCTTTACACGTGTTCCTCGACGACACTTCCCCTTCTTCCCCTGCTTATCTCCCTCCTCCCCACCCGTCTGGATACTCTTAGTTTGTTCTTAATTTCAATGTCTCTCATTATATTTTGCTTGCTTGTTTGTTTTGTTGATTAGCTTCCACTTCTAGGGGAGATCATATGGTATTTGTCTTTCACCGCCTGGCTTATTTCACCTAGTATAATACTCCTCCAGTACCATCCATGCTGTCATGAAGGGTAGGAGCTCCTTCTTCCTTTCTGCTCTGTAGTATTCCATTATGTAAATGTATCATAGTTTTATGATCTACTCATATGCAGGAACCTTGTTCTTACGGTGAATATCATTATTCATTTCATGATACTTTAATTCAAAATTCACCTGCTTCTGCAACTTCAGGTGGGATTTTATGGGGGAAAAAGTCACTGTGATGGATTTCACTTCCAGGAAACTAAGAACAACACAGCAGCAGGCAGACCCTGGGCTTTGTCCATCACAATCAAATGATTTCTCATTAGTTTCTCTTCCTCATGTCATTGATTCTTTTCATTAAATATTTTTCACTATCTCAATCTTTTGGTTTGACTAGAGGAAGCAATATATGACAATCCTAGAAATAAAACCATCTCCCCACTTCCGCAAGCACACTTACTTCTTAAACCTGGAAGGTCAGCATGGGCTCTGCACTCTTCCTCAGAGGAAGAAACATGCATCTGAGAACATGTTCCAGCTTCAGAGGCCGACATGTTCTTTAACCATCTGTCCAAGCAGCAAAGGTCATGAAAAGAATTTTAATACCGTGCTATATGGTCCTCATGAAATGCGCTCAGTCCTCTCTTAACATCCTCAATAGGTTCTTGGAACAGGGAAACAATATGTAACACAACCAATTTTACTATAAGTTAATCTAATGGATACAAACAAGGGTTAAGTTCTTAGAGTATCTCATCAACCTCATAATAAAACAACATTGAATGACACAGTGTTTCTCGAGGACCTGCTGTACTTGTAAGAAGAGAGAAATTACACCAGCATGTTTACACATCAGCACAAAAGGATGAGGGTCAGACATGAGGTGATGCTTAAAGTAGCACGGGACGATGAATGGAAGGGCATTGGTCCAGTGTCTGCCTACATCCAACTGCCTTCTTTCCAGGTCTTGGGGATCCTGGAACCAGAGGGGAAAGAATGGGTGTCTTCATTCACTTTCCAGTTATCTCTCTCTCCTGAAAAGTAGATCTTCATGTGTTTGAGAGGAGAGCACAAAGGCTGCTGTGTCTGCTCATACAGGGATGAGAGTATTTACAGTTTCACATGTGAGAAAAAGGACTGAGAAGATGAATGTTGAGGGACTTCCTGGAAGTCCTTCCATGTGTATAGATACAGGTAAGAATGAAGAGAAGAAAGTAAAGAGAGGTATAGGCAAAGGGAGGAGGTCTTGACAAATTTCAGAAACCTTAGGCAGTATGGCCCATCTAGGAAAAGAAAACTGCTTTAGAATGATGAGAATTTAGAATAAAAATTGAGAAGTGGTGAGAAGTAAGACTTGGGCATCAAAGTTGAGCCATGATACACCAGAGCTTGGATGATTTCAGCAGGTGGCAGAAAGGCATTTCAAAGACTTTAGGCAGGAGAGTGAAAGGATCTGATTTCCATTTGGAAATTTCAGTCAGACGGCTGTGTGGTAGAATCCAAGGTGAAACTGGGGACCAGGAAGGAAATCCCTGAAATAGCCTGGTAAAAAATGAAATTGTTTCCTCTTTTCCACTGCAGCTGATGCTGTAAATACACACAGCACATTCCAGGGAATATCTGGAATCTTAGACATCTTCCACATACTCTTCCTCTTTTGCTCAATTAGAAAATATCAATGCAAGACAGCAAGTCACACTTACTGAAAGTCAAAAGAATTTCTTGCAAGATATTATACTTTAAAAATGCCTCTGGACATTTTGCTTAGAATATCTCCCATGTGATCAGAGACAATCAGAGATGACTGCAAACTGCTCATACCCAAGGGGTCATAACAAAGATATTCATCATTGCTAAACAAATTGTGTATGATATGGCCATTTTCATCATTCCAGAGACACTATCAGCTTTAGAGTTTGTTTAACTGAGATATAATTGATATATAATGTTATATTAGTTTCAGGTGTACAACATAATGATTCAATATTTGTATATGTTGAAAATGATCTCCCCAGTAAGTCTAGTTACCATCTTTCACCATACATACTTACATAAACTTTTTCCTTTTTATTTTATTTTTTATTTATTTATATTTGTTACTGTTGTTCAAGCATAGTTGTCTGCATTTTCCCACCACCCCTTTCCCCCACTTCTCCCACACCCACCTTCCACCCTCAATCTTACCCGTCCTTGGCTTTGCCCATGAGTCCTTTATGCATGTTCCTCGAACTCTTCCTCTTCTTGCCCCCATTACCCCCCTCCTCCCATCTGGTTCTTGTCAGTTTTTTCTTTATTTCAATATCTCTGGTTCTATTTTGCTTTTTTTCTGATGAGAACTTTTAAGATGTACTTTCCTAGTAACTTTCAAAAAATGTAACTACAGAATTAACTATAGTTATCATGGCATATATTACATCCCCATGACTTACTTATTTTATAACTGGAATTGTAGAGCTTTCAATCCTCTGCCATCCCTTCCCACTTTGGTTTTTAGACCCAGGAAGGTTGACAATGATGACGCCCAATGGTGGTCTCCTGTGTAGTTAGGGGCATTAAGGAGTAGCAAGTGTAGAAAAATCTGATAACAAGGAGAAATAGAACACTGGAAATCACTGTATGGGTTTATGTTATTCCTTGTCCCTGGCCATAAGACCCATTCCTCTGTGTCTGTTTACAGGGCGCTAAGCTCCTGGGGAGAAGAGAGGAGAAAGTAGGTGAGCTGTGAATGAGTCCCATCATGTTCCCAGTCCCATTCTAAGCATCACCTTAATGTGGGTCCAAATCCAACTCTCATCCTTTCAGGCTCATAAGCTAAAATCCTGGGCAATTTCACTCCCCCAAGTATTTAATGAACAGCATAGATAACATGACTCAAAATTCTGTTTGTGAGCTTTGTAGCTGTATCTTAGGGTATTGAAGTTATTAAGCCTTGATATCGGCTCTTTCCCTGGACATCTTAACCAATCCCTTAACTTCACAGATGAAATGAATTTTGTCAAGTGACATATGTCCAGGAAGCATCTGGCCCTGTTTCTACAAGGTATTGCTGGCTCCTGGTACATAAGCCTTAAGCATTGGTGAATGTAATTTATTATTTAGTAGAAATTTTCCTTTATCTTTCTTTTTTCTTTGAGAACTAAAGCTAAATCCCACTCACCCTCCAATCATCTTGCAGATATTTGAGATACTTTCTCAAATTTTCTTACCTCTGAGACATGATTATATGACCCTTTTGGGAGTCGCAGAGGAGGCAGATAACCCAAATCAAGTTACTGAATTCACCAGACCTCATGCTTCATTTTTGTGTTAGAGCAAGTACAAGCCATTTTATCTCTAAGGATCAGAGTTGCTCTTCACTGCTTAGCGATAATTCTAAGCCAGGGGTAAAGAAGATAGGTAAGTGTTCCCAAGGACAATACGCAAGGGTAGATCAACAATATAAAATGTTGTATGTAACAAATAAAACAATATTGATTTCCTAATTTTGTAATTATGGCTTTAATGCCCAGTCATTTACTTCAAGAAATTTTAAAAGCAGAGATTATCAATGTTTATCTGAACTTGTTGGCTGCCTGCCACAATAAAAGCCAAAAACATGAGACAAGTGCAGGTGAAAAGAAAGAGGTTTGTTCAAACCTCTAGCCCCAAAACCAACCTCAACATCGCAGTGCAGGCAAAGGTTTTTATAAGGAAGGAGAGGGAAAGCAGAACAAAGAGCTTGAGGAAGAGCTGTGGACATGCAGGCAGTGTCACTGATGGTCTCAATATGGATTTTCATGAGCAGCGTCCTGGACTTGGCCATCTGATTTTGTCAGTTGCACTCCTGTGTCCGGGCAGTTGGCATTAACTAAGGCCTCAGGGTCAGGCTTCTCCTTAGATTCACACAGGAACTGAAACTGCTGAACTGTAAACTATACTATAAAAAAAATTTAACATGCAACTTCTAACTCTGAGGAAAAATCAGGTTTAAAATGCTAGCTTTCACATTTACTAAGATTAATAGAGATAGCTTTATATAGTAGAGTGAATTCATTCTCCATTACATGTCAGGTGTCTATTTCATGCTATTTTCTTCCTCAATCATCAGGCTGAGGTGTTAGCAACATGGAAACAGGAAATCAAACAAGGTTTTCAGATTTTATACTTCTGGGATTTTCCCAAGACTCAGAGCATCAACCCCTCTTATTCTGTCTGTTCCTCTCCATGTACCTGGTCACTGTGCTCGGGAACCTGCTCCTCATCCTGGCCATCAGCTCAGACTCCCACCTCCACACGCCCATGTACTTCTTCCTCTGCAACCTGTCCTTGGCTGACATCGGTTTCACCTCCACCACCATCCCGAACATGCTGGTGAACATCCAGACACAGAGCAAAGCCATCACCTATGCAGGCTGCATCACTCAAATGTGTTTTTTTAATGTTTTTGGAAGTATGGACACTTTCCTCCTCACAGTGATGGCCTATGACCGGTTTGTGGCCATCTGTCACCCCTTACAGTACCCAGTCATCATGAACCCCCACCTCTGTGGTCTCCTGGTTCTTGGGTCCTGGCTCATCAGCTTAATATACTCCCTGATCCAGAGCCTGTTGATGTTGCGGCTGTCTTTCTGTACCAGGTGGGTGATTTCACACTTCTACTGTGAACTTGCTCAGGCCATCACACTTGCCTGCTCGGACACACTCATCAATCACATCCTGGTCTATATTGGGTCTGCCCTTCTTGGCATTGTTCCCTTCTTGGGGATTTTTTTCTCCTATATTCGAATTGTCTCCTCAATCCTGAGAATCCCCTCGACAGATGGGAAATATAAAACATTCTCTACCTGTGGGTCTCACCTGTCCACGGTTTCTTTATTCTACGGGACAGGCCTTGGGGTGTACCTCAGCTCTGATGCGCCTTCCTGGAGGGGCATGATGGCCTCGGTGATGTACACTGTGGTCACCCCAATGCTGAACCCCTTCATCTACAGCCTGCGGAACAGGGACATCAAGGGGGCTCTACAAAAAGTCTTGGGAGAACGCTGTATGTTCCATAATGGGGACACTCATCCTGAGATTTTAAGCTGACGGAGTAGCAGCAGCTGGCTAAAGAAATCCCACCTCTTCATATCATCGAATTTTGCTTGCCATCCATTCTTTGCACTGGACTAAGGAAGCAATGGCTTTTTAAGCATTTTGTCTTAACCTCTTTGGGTAACTCCTCTGTTACTCTCGTTCTATTCTCTTTACACTTTCCATTCATTATGTATTACCACACCTCATGTCGGATTTCCAGCCCTGCAGGTTGATTCCAGCCACTTCAGGAACCCATTGGGAACAATTGAATAAGAATTATGATGTAGCACAATTTATTGAGGACCATTGCTACTTTTTATCAACATCACTCATTCACCAATATTTATTGATCACTTTCGCTGTGCTATGCTGCCGTAGGTGTCTGCAATACAGCAGTGAAGGAAAAACTTCGGCCTTATACATCTTAAATCTTATATCTCAGAGTTTTTTTATTACATCATATGAGGGGAGCCCCCGCAAAAAATTCAGGATTATCCTCTGCAGTGTGAGCCCCCCATAGCAGAGGCTTTCCCCACAGTTGCATGTTCTAGGAACCCACCTGTATCAGTGTACCAGGTGCCGTGGTTGTAAGAGGCTGCGTTTGGTTTCAGTGAATTTTTTTTAAGACTCTTTCAATGCATTTGCCTATTTCATGATGGATGATTCACAAACATACCTGCCCCTGCTGCACTGAGCCTTCAGCAATATGATCCTTGTGACCTACTCTTCCTTTTCACCCAATTCTCCCAGAGCCACTTTTTGTTTTGTTTCCCTGGATGAAAAAAGTCCTCAAAGGGGAATGTTTTGCTGGTAGAAAGAGGTTAAACAAAAAATGGCACTGAATTCCATCAAAATCAACGGGATCAAAAACTGTTCTGAGCAGTGGAAAATACATCTCAATAGGTGTATTGCATCAGAAACAAAGTACTTTGAGGTGACTGAAGTTTAAACATGTAATAATAAATACACTACTTTTTATAAATAAATAATTTTGAGGAAGGACTTCCCTCGTATGTCCAACAGAACATACGATGATGGATAAATTATTTATTTGGTTATTCATGAGATTGAACTTTTCTCTAAATGATTGCTTAGTGCATTTCCAAAATAAGCTATAAAAATATACTAGAATAGAAAAACTACAGAACTCAGTATTATATTTGATCAAGTACTAATAAGTTGTTCGGTCCAGTCTAATTTTGCAGGTGAGTCACAAATAGAGGAGTCCAGACAATGAAAAAATCTGGCTGAAAAGGGGACATATCTTTTGGTGTGGTTCCTGGATTGAGCACTGCAATGCAACTCAAGAGAACAATCATTCAGTCACAGAATTGCCACTCTAGGTATGTGATTCCGAGGCTCAGGTAACACAGAACACGTGGGGGCCTGTGGATTGCCTGATATATCATTTTCAGTTCCATATCTTCTTCACCATAAAGAAAGTGGATGTCTTAAGTTTTTGCATCATGGTGTTTCCCAGGACTCTGCAGGCAGGAGAGGATGACATACATATTCATCTCAGTGCTCACGACTTGCTGCCTACTCCAGAACGGAAGGAGTCCAGTGGAGTCTTCTTACAACAACTGGCCTCGAAAAGGGGTGAACTGCATCCCATTAACCTCTAGGATATAAGCCTGAATACAGGCTTGGGTTTGGAAACTGGGAGATGAATCATGATTTTCAGTTGTTGTTGCTGACATCTGACTTTTTCTGGCTTGCCCTTGATATTTTGGATTCTCTAGGTTAAGCAATAGTTTTCATGTCTTCTCCTCTACATGTTGCCACCACCACGGATGCTTGTGGGTCACAGGGCCCAGCTGCTATTCTGGATTTCTTCCCCAGTCATCTACCTACCTTGCCTCCCACGGTTCCTGTTGCCACCTGAGTTTAAACCTTAAGATACCTGTAAGCATCATTTAACAACTCTGCTTTGGTTAGGAGGTTCGCCAAATTCAAAAGTCCAAGAATTACAAAATGGAAACAACAATGGAAATTTTGGATATCAATTGACTTAACATTTACCTCAGCCCAGCTAAACCCAAAACAGATTTATTCCTGGAATAGGCCCATGACCTTCTTTCCTCAGAGCATTTACTTTAGAAAACTTGTCACTGCAGATTTTTGTGCCTCTTTGAAATGTAGATGAATTTCCTTGCAGCCTCTGGTCAGTTTCACATCCAAGGAATGTCTTTCTTAAACGCTTGGGAACTTTCCCTTTGAAATGCAGCCATCAAGAAGGGGAGCATTCTACCTCCCAGCTCCTGGAGGAGGGTAGGAACCTAAATTCCCTAAGCAGCAATTAGCAAACTCAGAAGGCCTAATCACACTTATCAACCTCCTGCTAATATCTTCCACTACTTTTCTATTAGCTTAGCCTAGCTTTAAAAATCAGCCTGACTTACTATTTTTAAATTATTTTTAAAAATAAGCCTGACTTACACTGGACAGGTATATGCAAAAGAATGAAACTAGACCACCTTCTTATACCATACACAAGAATAAACTCAAAATGGGTTAAAGATAAATGTAAGACGCCAAACCATAAAACTCATAGAAAAAAAATAGGTAGTAAGCTCTCCGACATTGTTCCTAGTAATATTTTTTTCTGACTTATCTCCTCGGAAGAGGGAAACAAAATAAAAAAAATAAGTAAATGGGACTGCACAGCAAAGGAAACCATCAACAAAATGCAATGCAAACATACCTATGGAGAAAAGATATTCATCATTGATACTTCCAATAAAGACCTAGTATCCACAATTTATAAAGAACTTGTACAACTTAACATTAAAGAAAAGTAAAACATCCTATTAAAAAACTTGTCTGAGGACCTGAGAATATATATTTCTCCAAAGAGGACATGCAGGTGGTCAACAGACGTTAAATGATGCTCAACCTCACTACTCATCAGAGCAATGCAAACTGAAACCCCAATGAGCTATCACCTCACACCTGTCACAATGGCTGTCCTCTAAATCAGCAAACAACAAGTGTAGGACAGGATGTGGATTAAAAAAAAGGGAACCCTCCTGCACTGTTGATGGGATTGCAAGTCGGTGCCACCACCATGGAGAATAGTCTGGAGATTCCTGAAAAAATTAAAAATAGAGCTACCTTATGACCCAGCAACTCCACTTCTGGTATTTAGCTGAAGAAATCCAAAACACTCATTCAAAAAGATATATTCACTGCTGTGTTCACAGCAGCATTATTTACAGTTGCCAAAGTATGGAAGCAACCTGAATGCCCATAAATAGACCAACTGGACAAAAGAGAAATGGGACATATAAACAGTGGAATATTACTTGGCCCTTAAAAATGGAATCCTACTATTTGTAACAACACGGCTAGACCTCCAGGGTATTATGCTAAGTGAAACAAAGTACTCAGAGAGAGACAAATAGCATATGATTTCACTTACATGTGTATCTTATAAACAAAATAAATAAACAAACAAAATAGAAGCAAACTCATAGATACAGAAACAAATTGTTGCCAGGTAAAAAGAGGATTGGGAGACTGAGTGAAAAAGGTGAAGTAATTAACAAATACAAATTAGTAGCACTAAATAGTCCTGAGGATATAACATACAGCATAGGAAATGTAGTCAATAATATTCTACTAACAATTTATGATGAATTATGGAAGGGATCATTTCATAAATTATGTAAATGTCTAACCACTATGTTGTACCCCTGAAATTTACATAAAAATAATATTGAATGTCAACTGTGATTAAAAATTTTTTTTTTAAATCTGTACCTGCCAGCAGTCAGTCCCCATTGCCACGCTGCACCCATCCCCTGACAATGTTAATCTACTTTCTCTCTCTATGGATTTGCCTATTCTGAATATTTCATAGAAATGGGATCATACCCGTTTAGATATCCTCCTGCCTTTTCTTTCAGCAGAGTTGGTTTCAGTCCCTCTCCTTTATTGCAATCCTCTTGACCCCAATCTTAAATGAAGTCTTACCTATCTGTTTGACTATGTCTCATGCAATTTCCCATTGTCATAATCGACATCTTTCATAGAAATTTCTTTATAACAAATTTCTATCAGAGTATATTTTTGGCGGTGAAATATCTGATATCTTGCCTGTTTATGTCAATAATGTCACATTTCACAAAATACTTTAGATTGGAAGAGGACCAAAATACACTCTCTTGAGGACATATATCAGTTTAATTTGGGACAGAATAGTTGATGCAGCCAGGTAAAAGATGATCTTTTATAACATTCTAGATATGTGAGTCCACTAAGCAGGTAATGACAATACAAGAGAAATACAGACTAACTGGATGGAGAGAAGATCAGGAGAAGTTAGATGGTTGGTCAGGCATCTTTAAGTGCTGATACTTAAGTGGGAAGTTGAATAAGAAAGAAGAAGAATTTTCTAGACATAGATAATTAACTTTAATGGTCTTGAGGTCACGAAGAACATGGTCTGCTTGAAGAACTACAAGAAAGCCAGTAAGCATAAACAAACTTAACATTCAACAGATTGCCTGTAAGAGGTTCCAGCCGCAGAGGTTCTGCTTCAGCAGGTCTGGAGCAAGACCTGAAGTTCAGCACGCATGAGCTCCCAGGATAATGCTTATAATGGGCCAGCAAGAGAATTGGAAGTTGGAAAGGGATAGAAGAGACTAAACCTTGCCAAGTTTATACACCTTGGCAAGGAGTTCTGATTAGACCTAAAAACAAAACAAAATTTAAAAAAACCTGGCTTCCATGTAAAAGGAGAGAAAGTGAACATTCAGAAGCCTTTTAGAACACTCTTGCAAGGGTAGGAAATACAAATCACAGGAAAATCTGAGCAGTTATTTGTTAGTGCATTTTGACAGTGGGAACACGAAGAGAGTTCAGTAGTACGTCAGCCAGCTTGCAGTTAGAGTTCCTTCAACTATTTGACATCGCCTGTCTGTGCATCTCTGTATTCTAATGGACAAGACTTGGAAAGTTCCTCAGGTCTTCAGAAACCTCCTCCTCCCAGGACGACAGAATATCCTTAG